TCAGGTCTATCTTACTTTTCTATTTAAGATGTGAGAGATCCGGGTCACGGTCAGGCTTTGGAGATGAGGACTTTCGGAGCTGCTGGAGGGGAAGAGGGTACGTGAACCAACAAAAGAAAGATATGTTGGTTTTACTTTGTTTCCTTAAGGATCCTTTGCTTTGTTCATTCAAGGTTCTATTGGATCTATACCCCAAATATTACAAAATCGTTAGAAAATTTTATCGGAGAAAACCAAGAATAGACATGACACCGATTGAATCAAATTCTATCAGAGCCCAATCGACCTTTTCATCTTTATAAAAAAAATATATTCTGCACTATTCTCTTTAATTATAAATCACCAAACATGCTTTATAGATCGCAGGAACGAATGTTTAGAACATCGTGTCGCCCATGAACAGAGTGAGGAGAAAAATAAAGATCATAAAGAAAATAAGGAGACACGAAAGGAGCCAACAAATCCGAAATTGGAGAATGCTGAGGATGAAGAACCCGCTGAACAACTCCCAAATGATTATAATGATATTTGAGCCTGAGGGTGGTCTGACTTGTTTCTCAAATCTTATTTACAAGCAAGCAAAAAAAATTCAACAGAGTGGACACATTTCAGTATGGAGGAACAACAGTACAAATTTACAAGTTTTATCTTTGTGATCATGTTGTGTAAATTGGCTTTGTCTACAAACTGATTTCACGACTGACATTTAGTAATCTCTTAAATTGCATGTTCCACTCAGGACCAGACAAAGAAGCCGAAGAGGAACCTGAAAAAGGGCAAGAGAAGGTCCATAAACATGATCACCCATGTCTAGAACATACTAAGCCCCAAGATACACGTAAATGGCAGCTGAACACAAAACACAGAGAGCCTGCCGAGCCAGAACAGCCTGAAACTGAGCCTACCGACTCTACCGACAAAATAACAGCACAGCCAATGAAGACAGAGACTAAAGATAATAAACAATCCCAGAAAGATGTTGCGGCAAATTCTGAATGTGAAGAGTTACAAACAGATTTTCAAGGGGATCAGGACCAATCTACTGATGAAGGTGAGGTTTAGTTTCCCTAAAAAAATTGAAATTTGTTTACGTTATCATTCACTCCAAATGTAGGTATTCAAATCTATTTATGGACTCCCTTATTCATAAGCACAGTAATAATGGCTTATTCATAAGCCATTAATCATATTTACTTAACTACATACCATTATAAGATGGATGTGATGGTTCATATGAATTCATTCCTTCTGATTTGTTGTAAAGTAACGATTAACAATAAGTTTTGTGGAAGCTTATGCAAACGTATAGGGGGAAGGCATCACAATACTAAACCTTAGAGCTGTCATTCATATTACTAAATGTGCCTTGAATTATCACCGGGGAGAAAATCGTTAGTGCTCCTTTATGAGCATTCGTGAAGATCCAAAACGATATGAGAAATGGATAGCAATTGCATATAAAATAGTCATAGTAAGATGTAGGATATTGTCATCAGGGTAATGCTCAGCATTCCTTAGAGGGCCAAATCTCATTCTATCCTCATTTTGTCTTTTTTTCCTGAGTTCTCTCCTCCTCTTGTATGCCTCACAAAAACCAGAATTGAAGATTAACATACTCGCTCCAAATGGAAAACAAATGTTAGACAATTGGAGCATCCTCTTCAAAACAAAATACCTCCTATTGATAAATTTTTGGGAAAAGCTAAGCCTTTTTTAATACGAAGAAGACAGAAGCAACCAATTAATCTTAAACATGCCAGTAGAAAGCTGATTAATAGAAAAATCATGCGGCACTTTTGAGTAACATCACTTAGATAAGGTTCTTCCAGGGGAGGTTCATTTATCAAAGTTAACAGGAAACTATGTAAAATAAACCATACTGTACCTAAAAAAAGCTTTATATTCAGTTCAGCGGCATCTCTCTGGGAGGAAGCATGATTCATCAGATTGTCAATCACTTTTAAATTCATCATCATCATTTATTATTATTACATAAAAACATATATTTAAAGTCGGACCGGCCCGCATATAGCTCTGCTACTCTAAGCGGGCCAGTCCATCAATAGCTACAGTCCATCATTAGCTTATTACTATTAATATTAATAACATAAAAACAAAAAAAGGAAAAGAATGTGATTGACTAGATAATATTTTGCTTGTTTGTATGTTTCTCTCTCTTCCCTTCCTCTTACTACTACTACTACTGACATTTTAATTTAGCTTAGAGATGATTTTGCGAACCTCAATGAAAGAGTCTTCATCGTCGAGTACACTTAAGTGAAGTTTGTTTTTAATTCTGAGTTTGAAGGATTTCTTTGGTAGCCCTCTCAGAGAGTTGGGTATCTCATTCCATAGTTTAGCACCAATTCTTGAAAAGGCGTTTTTTTGTATTTCAAGTCTTGAAGCATTTATGTAAAAATTATCTGAAGTAGATGAGCG